ATTTAAAATTTTATTCAAGAAAATATCCTACCCAAAACAGGAAAACTGACGTTTCTCAGCATTGTCAAACAACCTCTCCAAGGCCAGAACTAGAAATATCAAGTGAACTTCAATCAACCCTTGAAACTTCTAAATCTGATCTACTTATTCCAATTGCCCACAGAAAAGGAGTTAGATCCTGCACTACTAAACACCCTATCTCTAATTTTGTCTCACACTCCAATGTCTCTCCATCCTTTTGTTTTCTTACTAAACTAACTCATGTTGAGATTCTGAAGTCCGTTCAAGATGCTCTTCAGGTCCCTGAATGGAAGGAGGTAGTTTTGGAGGAAATGAGAACCTTGGAGAAGAATGGAACTTGGGAGATGATTGATCTACCTCGGGGAAAGAAAACTGTTGGGTGCAGATGGATATTTGCTGTGAATATCACTCAAATGGATCTCTTGAGAGGTATAAGGCAAGGCTGGTTGCAAAGGGTTTCACTCAAACCTATGGAATTGACTATATGGAGACATTCGCTCTAGTAGCCAAGTTAAATACAGTTCGGGTTTTGTTGTCTGTTGCAATCAACCTCAATTGACCTCTTCAACAACTAGATGTCAAGAATGCATTCCTCAATGGAGAGTTGGAGGAAGAAGTTTATATGGTGCCACCACCAGGCTTTAAAGCACGGTTTGAAACTAAGGTCTGCAAGCTAAAAAAATTCTTATATGGACTTAAACAATCACCAAAGGCTTGGTTTGACAAATTTGTAGGGTCTGTAAAAAAACAAGGCTACTTACAAGGGCAATCCGATCACACCATATTTTTTAAGAGAACGGGCAGGGAGAAGATTGTGATACTAATAGTTTATGTTAATGACATAATTTTGACAGGTAATGACGATGAAGAAATTGACAAGTTGAAGAAGAATCTCACCAAGGAATTTGAAATTAAGGATCTTGGAGCCCTTAAGTATTTTATGAGCATGGAGGTAGCAAGATCAAAGAAGGGATTGATTGTGAGTCAACAGAAGTATATTCTGGATCCCTTGAAGGATTCAGGAATGTCAGGATGCAAACCAATGGATACTCCAGTTGATCCTAACCTCAAATTAGGTGATAGCAGTCCGGGTATTCCAGTGGACATAGACAGGTATCAAAGATTAGTTGGAAAGCTCATCTACTTGTCTCATACTCGCCCAGATATTGCATTTGCGGTGAGTTTGGTTAGTCAATTTATGCACTCACCAAAGAAAGAACACCTTGAAGCAGCATACAGAGTTCTTAGGCATCTTAAAGGTACTCCAAGAAAAGGATTGTTCTTTGAAAGAAAGGAGTACAGGGGAATTGAGGCCTACACCGACGCTGATTGGACTGGTTCGGTTACTGACAGAAGGTCTACAACAGGATATTGCACATATGTTTTGGGTAATTTAGTTACATGACGGAGTAAAAAACAGAACGTTGTTGCAAGAAGTAGTGCAGAAGCCGAATTTAGAGCCATGACAAGTGGCATTTGTGAACTGATTTGGCTGAAAATGATCTTGGAAGAACTTAAACTACCTATGGACGGTCCTATGAAATTGTACTGTGACAACAAGGCTACAATAAGCATAGCAAACAATCCCGTGCAGCATGACCGAACCAAACATATGGAGATCGACAGACACTTCATCAAAGAGAAGATTGAGAATGGTGCAGCTTGCATACTGTTTCTTCCAACAACGGAACAAACAACAGATGTTCTAACTAAGGGGCTCTTCAAACCAACTTTTGAGTCACTTGTTAGCAAGTTGGGTTTGCTATATATTTACAAACCAACTTGAGGGGGGGTGTCGAATAATATTAGGTAGTTAGTTCTTCTTTTCTAGGAAGCTTATGTACAGAATTATATTTCTAATTTACTGTAATCTAGGGATCTGTTTACTAGAATTAGTTAGGCTTTACTGTAATCTAGGGATCTGTTTACTAGAATTAGTTAGGCATTGTACTATAAATATACATTGTATTCTGATTATTCAATTAATAAAAAAGATATTATTATTTTTCTCTCTAAACTACAAAAATATATTGCTAAAAGGATGAAGTTGGCAAAACAACACTCTTGTATATTCATATTGAGATTGCACATCCCAGACACTCTAGGAATTACTAGTCAGCATATTGCAACTACATTTCTTTGCTCCAAATCTGATGAAATATACTACTGCTCCAGCCGAAACCTTTAGCTTCTCAACCTACCACATTGCCCACAATAAAACTCTGAAACTCCACTTAGGTAACAAATCAAGTAAGCAACTATCAAATCAAGCTCCTTTAAGAGTTCATTGTCTCAGACAAGTTAGCGTAAAGCAGTTAAGGACTGAAGTGGCTAGTGTGGCGGCATGTCTTCATCACACTTTCCAACTACCTCTTTGACGTGAAAGTGGGATTTGGGAATGGGTGTATAGGTGGTGGCAAGTCATATATGTCAAACCTTTTCATGACACTTCTATTTGAAACAATTTCTTTTTTTTCCTTTTTTCATTTTTTCATTTTTTCTTCTTCTTCTTCTTCTTTTTTTTTTTTTTTTTTTTCCTTTTTTTTTTTTTTTTTTTTTTTTTTGCCTTTTTGAGAGCACTCCCATGCACATGCATCGCGAGGAAGAAGAAAACTGCAAATGGAAGGAACCCAAAGAAGCTCCTATGAGGAAGAAAAAAGCCCTCATGCAAGGGGAAATTTTCCACAAAGGGAACTCTTTGAAGAAGAGAATCGTAGTCTTCGACTCTAATTTGTTACAAGAATCTTCTATTCTGAATTTACTAACATCTTTCTTAATTGCTCAAGTTTCTCTTCCATGGAGCAATATCTATCTTATAAATATCATATAGAATTTTTTTTTTTCAGTTTCGTAGATACCCTACGTAAGAAGCATGCCAATGCCCAAGATTACAGGAAGCGTTAGGCAGTCTGGCGCCTAGTGCCTAGGCGCCTA